TTTATTTTCGATACGATGCCAACGGAGGGGTCGAGGTAGACAAGGATATGGTGATGCCGTCGACCATTGTGAATTAGTTGCTTGATCGAGGGGTCGTGTCAGGAAAATTGTGCGTCGAGCCCACCAGTAGTCGGACACGGTTTGGCCTTTGAATACGATTGCAGCAACTAGTCTGCGTAGCAGTAGAAAATAATCCATCTCTCCTTGGCATGTATTCTCTTGTTCTAGAAATATTCCGGAAGCATGCTAGGTCAAGGTTGACCGGGACATCTACGTCGAACGTGTGTAGCTTCTGGAAGCCTTCTGGAAACTTCTGGTTCCTTCTGTAGCTTCTGAAAGCCTTTCTGGAAACTTCTGGTTCCTTCTGTAAGCTTCTGGAAGCGTTCTAGATCTAGGTTGTAGTTGATACTCTTCTAGAACGTGGGAGGGCTTCCAGAAATCATTCTGGAAGCATTCTGGATCTTTCGTGTGATTGGCTTATTTGTCCGGTATTCGAGAAGAGTGGTGCAGCCCTAAGCTCGCCCACTCCTCTCACTCCTCTTCAGTACCAGCAACATCTGACTCGGGAGTCAGCAACTAATAAAAGCATCTTCATATTTCCATTCCAAGTCTCTCGCGGTTGGAGACGCACAGATTGTGAACCTCTGAGGTAGGCTACACAGCCTCCTGGCATCTGCAGCATCGTACTGCTGCTAGTGCACAGCGAAATATCTCTGACAATGGGCACCGCGCGTTGTTGCTGACTTCCGCCACCGATTTCTGTTTCGATTCTTCTGTAATCGTGTGTCCACAGCAGGCGAGCAGCGATCTTTGCGGCCTTTGATGTTGGCTTGGTCGGCTGTTGGCACATACTGGTGCATTGAAAATGTATTCCCGAGTGGGCGCGGGGGGGGGGGCGGCGCGTTCTGCGTAATTGTATGTGCTTTCTCGCGATGAATCTTCATCAGGTTTGCTGCATGTTTTTTGTTCTTGATCGTTGGTTGGCGCTTGCGCGTCATTCTCATTTCTGCGGAATTGATGTGATGCCATCCCCGGGAGATCGCGTTCTGTTTGGTACAGATCGCTCTGTTTGTGCTCGCAATACAGCAGCAGTACATGGTATGGTTCTAGCGGTGCCTTAATCAGCGACCAGAGGTACTGCGGTCACAAAAGCACTGTAGCGCGCTCGATAAGTAGGCAGAGTGGTTTCAACGTGGTGCGTTACGGCGGACGAAACCATGAAACCACGGTTTGTCGCTGGGGACTCTCGTCCTCCTACCAGCTTCGGTGAGGAGGAGGGACTTGGTTCGTCCTTCGAGCATTTTGCATGCAGCCACAGAATTCAGACGGCGTCAGTAGTATGGGTTGGGATACAGAAGACACACTTGCGCAGAGTGTCCCGTAAAGTCATGGCACAGTGGGGGGCGCTCGATGATGTTTGATTTTGGGGACCAGGCATATGCCAGATGGCGAATGGTATCGCCGAACAGTAGGTCACGATGCCGAATGATGCAACGAATGTTGGCGACGATCGTTTCGATCGGTCCAACGAAATCAACATGGAGAGTCATGACCCACAGCACAACATCCCGGGTATTACGCGAAGCACTATCTAGTCGAATTGGATACCCAGGTCGGGAGAGACAGGGCTTTCACTTTCTGTAGGCACGCAAACAAACATGCGCGGCAGCCGGCCATTGTTTCACAGCACAACACGCGATATGCCTGAAAATGAACAACACACCTAACCATGTGTGATATCATGCGTTTAGTACACGACTATTTCCAAGAGCAGTATATCCACCGCGGGATCACCGAAGCTGGTACTGGTTGCCTCCTCGTTGTCCCATTGAGCGACTTTCGCTTCGTGGACGAACGATCGTGCGAGGATATATAGAAGTAGAAGTAAATAGCTAACGCCTGTGGTAGTACCCGCATGCATTTCATATATTATTCCTACTTCGTTCATTCGCCAAGTGCGTCGCATGCACAATGAGAAAGCATTCAAGAGAGAGATGACACCACCGCTCGTGAGCTGGCTTGCAGACCAAATCATGTCAAAAGGGGCGCTCACTCGTGACCGCGGACAAGGACGATGCGTACACGGGATTTCGGCTGGCTTGGAATTGGTCGCACGCGTACCGCACCGAGTCTGGGATGTTGCTCCTCCCTGCCTCGGTCCTGTAGTCGTGCGACCAACTTCAAGCCACCCGGGGCCCCATGCACGGCACCGTCGTTGTCCGCGACTACTTCATCATGGCCCACGTGTTGAACGCACGCGTGAGTAGACAAGTAGAGCAGTAGTTCACGTTGCGGTTTTCGGTAGAGACAGGTTGAATGATCCTGGTTGCTCTAGGTCATGTCCACCGCAACAATTAAATCGGATGTTTTGTATTAATGGGCATCTGTTTCCACCACTTCATACCAGGGTTGAACAATACCGCCATAGTGCACCTGGGATGGTTATTTCTCGATACACACGATCGGAAAGTCAACAGTACTTGGAACGCCGAGACAACAGCAACAACCACAACAGCTACAGCACGGCAACAAGCTGCCCCTTTGCCACTACACCCACCCCCTCTCCTGTTGCTCACGACTCTATATCCCAGAACGCAGGCGATCGAGGTGGACAAACATGTCTGCCATGTCCAAGATGCCCTCTCTTCGCGTCCAGTTCCCATGTGCGGGAGATCGCGTCGACGAGGTTCGGCATTCCTACGATGCGCCCGGAAAATCTCGAGGTAACGTGTGTTTCCTGGCTTCGCATCCCCCAAGTGCGCACGATGTTCACAGACTTTTGTACCCTTGACGACACCCTATCCACAACAACGTCAGGATCCAGCACCAGGCACACCCGCCATTGCTCCTGCTCGAGTATATCGTTCCAGAGATTTTGTACCCTTGTCGACGGCCTCGATCATCTCGTCTCGTGGAAATATGCAGCAGAGTGCCGTCGATTCCCAGGGTCATCATGTGCCACCGGCCGTGGTTGACGCTCTGCTCCTCCTCCGCCTTAACCATTCAACAAGTGAAGAGCGAGCCGGACCGTACCAATCCGATGACATCAAGGAGCAAACGACCACTCACACCGGCCTGGACACCACCATCTTCACGACCAGCGGTGGCGGCGACACCAGCAGCTGCAAGGGCGAGCGACGGCATCTACAACACCACCTCCAGCTCACCTGCGAGGTACTGAGGGGAAGGCGTCATCCTCGAGAGCCCCAACACTGGGGATAAGGTGAGTTGCACGCAATCAGCAGAAAAATGATCCGAGAACTTTGTAATAAGGGGCGATGGGTTATACCATAGGGGGATCAAGGTTTACGTTCCGTACATGAAAACATTTCGCATATGCTGTTCTGTTTCCTCAGTGCGGATGTTTCTTGTCTTTTGATTGATCAAATTTGTCACCAAGAAAGACCTTCTCCATTTGAAACAATGCTTATTTTAATATGTTTGCCCTCTTTGTTCTGCGGCATTGCTATTTCCCCAGGTGGTAACCGCCGGGGAACGCATCGTCATCGAGAAAACCCGAGCAAGAAAAAGAGGGACTGGGTCAAAAATGAAGCTGGGAGAACCCAAAGTCGGTGAAGAAGATATTCCGACGTATAGGCGGCCTTGATCGTACCCGAGCTTCTTCTTGACCAGGTCCGCCTTTTTCTTGCTGGAGTTGGTTTTCTCGATGACGACACGTTCCCCGACGGTCACCAGGTCGGGAAGTTGAACAAAGACAACAACAACACCAAATATTGACCACAGCAGACACACGGACATGGGCTTCTCAACCACGCACTCACTCCACTCGGTGGGGAAAAAATTCGAGGATAGGCTGGAGGGCTCGTTTGTCTGGGGTGGATCGTGGAGTGAAGATCGGTCATCGCCGTTCCTTCGGGATGATTTCTCTTCCCACTGATTTCTTGTCTCGATGTATTCCGGTAAGCATCGTCATTTGTGCGCCACCAACTGTAGTGAAAGAAGAACACCGCGGGTGATGTTAGGTACGCCACCGAGTGTTGCTTCAGTCCAATTGTTATCAATTCTCCAACAGCGAGCGAGCACCGGTCGTTGTGGTTCAGCTGTGACTTGCATGCTATTAGCTGTTGGCAGGCGCGCACAATAAAATATCTGGCCTAATTCGCGTTGGGGGCCCGTGGGGGAGGGCAGGTTTCACGGTGCGTATACGGGGGAAATTATGAATGTTCGTGTGTAGCGAGTCGTGGAGAGTGTAAGAGGCTCACTGTCTGGTTTGCTATGCGAGCGTGGGACGCCGCTTGCGCGTTGTTACCGTGGCTACGGCATGGAAACGATTTCTCTCATTATCATGTAACGTTTTGTTTGGAAGAGGCCACTACGTTTGTGCTTGCAATGCTTTGCAGTTTTTAGCGTTGCCAAATATAGCAACCAGGAAAAGCTGCGCCACTCGAGTTTGTGCTCTTGAGTGCGCCAACCATTGTAGTGTTTTTCCCTCTCCCCATACCTATTTTTCGCGGAGTAGTCTCACAGTTCGATCCATGACTATTTAAGTTCAACGAGGCGTGCTTCGGTGGACCAAAGGTTAGTGTCGAGAAAGATATGGATGGCGTTACGGACACTCGTTCTGCTATTATACAAGGTTCATAGAGGAGGCGAACTGTAGAGCGACCTTAACCAAACTGTAGACTCTAAACGTTTTAGTAGTATGGTCTGCTTGCCGCAGGTTAGGCGGTGGGGATTTTTGCAAAGAGCCTAGTCCCGTTATGCTATGCAACAGTGGAGTGGAGGTGTTCCTTGATGATGCACAAAATGCTTTTGCTTGTGAATTTTTGCCCGATGGCAAACGGTACTATATCTTGTACACCCTTTCAGATGATGCAGCGAGTGTGGCTACGGTTCGCTAAAGAAGTCAATCCGGAGCGTCATGCCCACAAACATATCCCAGCTATTGCACGAGCATTGGGCGCGGAAACTGGGTTTTCACACTTCCAACGGGCATCCAACCATGCTCAACCAGCTCTGCGCAACACCCATCGTTTCACAGGGCAACCAACAATAGACACACGCAAAAATCACGTCAACACACGTGAAATGCCTTCCGATTTTTCACAATTTCGAAGCGTGGCATGTCCACAGAGAAGCCGATACTGGCACGCATATGTGTTTGGAGTGCTATCACTAACGCCTACTGTACCTGCTTGGTTGATGCGTGGCATGCAAAATGCGATAGAAAAGTCCCGCTCGGTTAAGCGAGGTAGATACGTATCGTCCATCAACATCGAGGTAGTTGTGCCATACTGCTGGACTACCGGAGCTGGGCGTTCATCGCGTGCAGTAAATCGAGTTGAACATGTGTCTACTTGCCGGAACTTTGTGTACCGATTGCGCGCTCGGCCTTCCCTCCTTCACTCCATTTACATCAAATATTTTGCTGAAACAGGTTCTGACCGACAAATCACGAGCGCGTGCCCCTCTCCCCCCCCTTCTATGCAGAGTCTAAGAAACGATCTTCATTCACGATTTGCCCGTTGCTACCAAATTCATCTACTGTACAAGTCCACCGTCAAGGGGCCACGCCAAGACGCAACTCCTTAGATGAGAAGTGAAGCGCATATAATACTTGTCCCAGATCGAGGGGTTGTTAGCCTTTTTCGAAACAACAGCTGTCGACCTGTGTTCACTCCTCCTGTCTCTCACTACAGTGGTCGATTTTTCTACAGACAGGTGGCAGAGGGACAGACCGGACTAATAGAAGACTCATACAGGTTCACGTTACCGCTCTTCTTTTTGTGTCCCATCGTTGGTTCGGCAGAAAAAACAAGCCAAGAGCGCTAAAAACAAGCAAAGCATTAGTCTAATATTTCGGGAGCAGATACATCATTACTCGACGCAATGCGGCTACAGCCCGAACAAGCCCCCTTCCCCCGCGGTTGGGGTCACTCGACTCTTCACCGGTCGGCGATAGTGGGCAAACGATATGCAGTGTTTCCATGGAGGAACTGTGTGTACCAAGCGGAAACGAACGCGACTTCGTTCCTTGAGCCTGCTCCAACACTTCGCCGCATGGAGTCCACACCGCACGAGCAGTAATCTGAAGTGGGGTCCCTCCCACGGAGGGCTGTCCGCGTATCCCCCTTCCCGTCTGGTACCGGCGAGACAGGAGAGGGCTGTTGGTAAAGTCGATGAGGAAAGGAAGGCCGGTGGTACGAGGAGGAGCCACCCGGTGGAATCCGGCCTGCTGTGAATGAAACCGTTCGTTCATTCTCGAAGCAAAGGAAAGAGGTGGGAGAATCACAAGGTTGAAAGGAATTCAAAAGTACAGCGGTAGTAGTGCCAGCGGCAGACGGGCCGCGGGCCGCATGCTCTGTGTCGGTTGCTGCACGTTCGGCACACACCCCTATGGAAGCTGTCGGACGAACATCTCACCCAGTCATTCATCGTACCCATGGTATGGCAGCCCGAAGCCAGCGGAGACTCACGAAAAGTATCAGGGGCTCCGCTGCCAAGTGTAAAGTCTACCAATCACCGGGGATATTTCACAATTTTGTTATGTGATTTTGTACTGTTGTGAAGTTAGGGCACAGAACAGCTGGGTGCTACATGGTACACGTGCATAGGGTGGGTTGTCTTGCATGCCTCCGTCAGCCATCCGACAGATGCTCTGCATCCTGCTCCCACTTTCTGATGTGTTGCAAGTCACAACTGGACTCGAGTATGTCTGGAACGAACGGTCTATGTCTTGGCGTCGTCCGTCCATTCAAACCCAGAAGTACTGCTGTCAGGTACGCACGTACGGCGTACCGTACAGCAGCAGTAGTGCCCGCAGAGACTCGGCAGCATGGAACTTCATGCTCAGCATCATATCAAAGCATAGCAGCATTTGTGAGCCCAGTTCAAACCACGCTGAAGCTAGACTTTGTGTGGCGGCCTAAAAATCCTACATTAGAACTGCTCCCGCTGTGGAGAACCGCCGCCTCTCCCAAAAAGTGGAGGTCGTGTAGACTACAAGTAGACCAAATAAGTGTACAAATGAATCATGCATAGAGTCTACACTTCGAAGTGCTTCAGAGAGGCAAACAATCTACAAATACGTACTGATGCTTTCCCCCCTTGAACACCCTCTTCAAACAAAGTCGATCCGATGGCAACCTCTTAGCCTTCCCAATTTTCCCCTTCTCTTCTTTTCCCACTCTCCTTATGTCAACCCATCCAGTGTTGCTGTAGACTTGTTCTGCATGAAGGATTATTTCTCTAAATAAGACTTTCTCCGGGGATGCTCTGTTTCTGTCCCCTTTTCCCCGTCAGCAGGCGTACAGCTTTCTGGACAGTCCAGCCCGCCGGCGACCGAGGTCTTGGTCGTCTTGGTTCACATGGAACGGCACCCCAGACCTCGGCATGCATTTGGGTTCGGTGAGGCAGCGTCTAAGGAGAGGCGTAGGCACCTGGCGGGTTGAGTGGGGATACAGGCTGAGGAGAGGCGAGGAGGACCAAGGGAGCGAGGCCGCCGCGGAGGTGTACACTAGTCTACACATCATATGCTGCGAAAGCATCTCTGACAGGCGAATTCAGCGGTTGGTCCAAGCGGCGGCTGTATTGCATGTCTCCTCTGTAGAACAGGCAGTGAGTACAGAATATGGAGAGGAGGTATTGTGGGCGCTTTCATTGTTGGAAAGGGAGGGTCGGAGAGCCCAGGGAGGGCACATCGACACTACAACGCAGAGAATTGAGGAAGCGCAGTGTGGAAAAACTGACTACAGTAGTCTATGCTACAGGCTGTCTGTTTTTCTGCAAGTCGTCCGCCACCAGCACGTGAACATATCTTCCACCTGGAATGCCAATGCTCCCTGGAATACGGGTTTTCCTTGGCTGTCTACTTGTGGCACCTGGGTGGTGGTATGATACTTCTGGGGTGTGTTGGTGATGATGAGATGCGGTGCGGTGTGATACACAGTAGCGCTGGCCCCTAGTAATCGTCGTGGGCGCTCACATGATTGTGCAGTATTAGAGCATGCTGCTGACCCCGTCGGCAACGGAGGTCCGTTTATCCCGCCCTGATGCCAAGGGCACAAACGCGGCATCGTTGCTGACAGGCACAGACCACCAGCGTTTCGTACGAAGGAATGCATATAATGGTCCATGCGAATAGTCAGCCTACTGCGGTCTAAGTTGGAACAGTTAGTGCCACCGCTGAAATACAGTAGTTCCTGATCCCGCCATATTTGTTTTGTTTTTATTGGCGCTTAACAATTGCATCACTTTTCTCGTTCTCAAGCCGGCTTCTTGCGAGTTTCAACAAATAGTGGCCTGCATTCGCAGGCAGCGAGGGACAGGGGAACAAGCGAAGAAATACCCAGTTCGACGACACGACTGCAGCTAGCTGAGGAAAGGAGGACGGAGATAGAGAATACGTTGCGAGATTTGTGCTGCTGTGGACTGAAGTCAGTGGCGGTGGCAAGGACGCCACCGATACGTCTCCCTTGGATGCTTTCATCGCTTACCCCGCCCACCCACCCCCCTTTTTTGCCCCCTTCCCCGTGCACTGATGCTTTCCCTCGTATTTTGGATCTGGTGGTCACGCGTGTCTGCGCGCGGCGGAAGGGAGCCTCGTTAGCGAGAGCATGCAAGGGATTTCCCTGTGCCATACGGGTTGGGGGAAATTGACTGTCTGGTTTGTTCCATTTGAAATGGGGCATGCAGGTGTCATTTGGGGCGTGATCGTGAGCCCCCACCCACATATATTTTGTGTGGGTGACTGTAACCCCGGTGTGGTGGTGATGACACCCCGGCCTTTGTGTTCGGGGTACAAGGAAGGGTCCATGCCGTTTCACTTTATTTGAAAGAGGATTTTTTATGCTTATGTTGGTATATGCTGATAGGGCAATCGCGTTCCGAGCGGAAGTGGTTGGCCTCGCCTTTACCGAACGTGTCACCAGTGTCGCCGGACTGGTTTCTGGGTGGGGCTGTTCTCCGTATATTTCTGTTCCTGTTGTTAAGTGTTAAGACGTATTTGTGACCATTAAGTGCATGCAGTATTCCCATGAACGTTTTCGCGTGTAGACTACCCTTTCCGGTGTGTGGTTGGCCTTGCTACCTCGGAATGGCGCCCGCCGTCACAGCTGCACCGGTAATGATATCAGACGGTGCCGTACGGACATCGACCGGTTTTTGATGTGGAGACAACAACAATAACAGCAACTGACTGCAGTGCATGTGACTTTCAATTCCTTGCGACCGTACCGGTTCCTGTTGTCTTGAACTACTGTATATATTCGAAGTACATGTAATCTACGCCGAGAATCTTGTCTGCTACCGTTACCATGGTAACATTTCGCCCTGGTTCGAGCTGGTCTCGTTCCTCGAGTACCCGTTCACTTGTTGATCCGCTGTAACGCACTTCGTGTAGCTGTGGATGTGATGGCGTGACTGGCGTGCATGTCCTTCACAACTTTTGCGAACGGTGGCTGAACGAATCACTTCATCGAGCGAGAACTTCACAACTGAAATAGGAACACTGCATACTGCTCGTAACGTGCTTGGGTTGCGTGTATGGATCCAATATCCAATTAGGTACACTGTCGACCACGTCATTATACTGGAACGCACGATTGCCCGAGCTTGAGTGGCAGGCGGTTTCCAATGCTAAGCATGACGACCAATAGCAGCACGGTGCACCCGCAGTCGTCCACTTGCCTGCATCCGATCTGGACCCCAGGTTGCCTGCATGCGCAGGATTTCGAGGGGGAGAAGGGTGATACTGTTGATTTGTGAGGCTCTTTGTGCAGATGCTGGCGGCGTGGAACCGCAGTGTTCTTTCCGCGAAATCTGATAGGCACGAGTGAGTGTGTGGTCTTTCTCCCGTGTGGCCCTGGCTGATGCGTTTGAAAACTTCTTCGGCATTGTGAAATTCGTACAAGACACCTGTACGCTCCAGAGAAGAAGTGAAACCACGTGAGCTTGAAGTGCTCCAAGCGCGACACTGTCCCAGGTTTCTCATCTCTACGCTTACTTTTCATTAAAACACATCAAATTCATCACGTCCAAAAATAAGAGTCCCGGATAGGTAGGCAATCAATTCATAGTGCTGTGTGATGTCCAGCTTGTATTTCTCAACAGTTCCCCGAGCATCATAAAAGCGATATATCCCCTGCGGGTAATAGGTTCAACCACGTGCCTTCTTTCGAGGCAATCAATCCCATTCTATCGTTGGACATGGACCCTACAACAAAGAGCGGTTCTCGCTCGGCTATTCGGCTGCTTGGCTCTCGCGTTGCCTACAATACGTCGCCGTACGATTGCGACAACGACTGGGTTGGCGCCTTAACGTAGCATTCCAGAGGCACCCCAGATCGGTTTTTCGAAATCATTTGTCGATTTGTGCCAGTTCCATCAAGGTTTTCCGAGACCAGATATATAGTCCATATATATATATGGTAGTATATATTTATTGATTATCATGTCAACAACAACAGCAACAACAAACATATTGGTGTGCCTCGTGTTGCCGCCCCCGATTGTTTACCACGTCACCGACCATCGGTCGGACAATTCATTTAATTTCTTGCTTACGCGTACCGCAGAACAAAAAAAAAGTTTTTTAAACCAATTACCCGTCAAACCGTTGGGCCTCCCAGCCGGCATGCGGCACAACTCAACATTCCGTGGTGCGAAAACCAGTGGCCGGACGTGAAGGCTCAATTGAATACTGTTGTCGAAGCCGAAGCGTTGGAGCAGCAGTAGGCAGGAATGGCAGGAATAGAAGAGGTCTCGAATTCTTCAACCTTCGCTCCGTTTGTTCTAACGCTCTCCGAGCGGAGAGTGCGTGAGCCTTGAATAACGAATAAGTTGTGTGGGGACCACAGCGGTCTTGATCAGGGCAAGAATTTATTTGGTGCTGTGGATCCAGCTCTTTACGTTATTTTTACCCCGTTGCCTTGCGCAGCCTTTCGCGAATGGCGCACACCCCTTTTGCCCTTCTCACGGAGAGCAGACAGAGGTAGAAGAGCAACAACACGGCGCCATGGTGACCATGGTCATCACCCCTTCTCAGCAAGGATGTCGCTCACGGAACCAACCCCTTACCCTCTTCACCCTCACCAAGGATCTTCTGTGCCTGCTGGTCGCCATTCTGCTGGTCACCTCTCCTGCCGCTGCCCAGCAGGGAGGGGAACGCCAGCTCGATGAGACCGACATGGACTTCATCACGTACGTGAACTCGTGCGCAGATCTCCCGAACGAGCGAACCCTAGTCCAAGGCTTCGTGGCCTTCGTGGCCGCAATAGTATGCCCGTCGCCGAAGGTGTGTCCTTGTGTGTCCGGTTTGGATTTCTAGGCACTGTTGTGTTCAGGCCTTGTGGCGCTACCAAGATGCCCCGTTATGGGTTATCAAATACTTGGCTGCAGCCTCCTGTCTATCAACCGGCCGTCGTCGGTCCTAAGGTACACGGTGATGGATACATCTTCGCAATGTGTGTTTTCGTTGTGTGTATGTCTTCCTACGGTGATAGAGTGTTTGTTACCGTTGCATTAAAAGGACGTTGGACATGCAACCCAGTTGCCGAAAATCGGAAAACAGCACATCAGACCACTCCGTGCGATCAACAGAGTCATGCAGACAACAAATATAAACATGTCGGAGTGCAGGTCCTGAATGCGCGAAAGCTCTACCCAGCAGTAAGACCACGAGCATTCAGCGAGGTCAGCAAGACTGCTCAAACCGATGCAAGCGGTTAGCTTTTGGCCACGCCGTCAGAAGGGCTCAAGTTATAGTCTATCTCTAATCATTTTGATAAATAATCTTGTAGTTTGACTGCTTGGTCAGAACGGATGCCTTCTCTTCGATCGGGAGAGATGTGGAATCTACAGTATATAAGTATTTCTTTTGTCCGACATGTCGCTTGCGATATATTTTTCGCCAGTGTTATCTGCTCGCGTTACTTGTTATCCTATTTAGATAGTTAAAAGCAAATATTTACTGCCGATCATGTGTTAATAACCACAACCAACAATCTTACAACAACAGCGGCCTACCACGTAGTATTGTTCGGACTGACGTCTGGCCATTCTAGACTGAAAATAAACGGTGGGAATAATCTCCAACCTATGTATCGTCACGAACAACAAATATTCAAATGGAGCAGGTGATCGAGATCGCAGAGGGAGGAAATAATGCCATCTTCATCGCGACACAAATGATGCACACCAAGAATGTCAAGTTCGAGGTTCGGAAGGGAACACGCATGCACTTCCGCGCCCCGGGGTTCACTTTTGAGCGCGACCAGGTAGCCATTGAATGTGTTGCTTGCGTCTGGTGTCCGCTGCTTGTTGAAAATAGCTGAGTCATGGCATCTCAATAGAGGTCAGATCTCGAGCCTCAGCCCCTGTCCTGGGTTTGTCGTTATTGCTTTTCCCCTTTCGGTTTTTCGCCAATAGTCTATTGTTGATGTCAAGCTGGGATAATTTTCCCGGCATGTTTTGTGGGTGAAACACCTGGTCAAATTGCCGAATGAGCCCAGCGCTGGTACTTTGATATACGCTTTCATAGGGGCTGCTTCCCGTCACTAGCGAAGTCCATCAATTCGGCAAGGTCGTTCTTGCGTGCGTGCGAAGCCTTCCTCCCTCTCCCCGCATCCCTGCCTCCCTTGTTCATTCCATTTTCTCACACCCCTGTACTTTGTCTTTGTCCAATATCCCCTCACGATGGCTGTTTGTTCTTCGTTAGGGAGACAAGACCCACATATTTGATGTGAACGGCAACCTGAGCTTCCACGCCCACCTGCACCACTCCAGCGACCTGGGAAACACGAGACCGGTGGGCTTCTGCTGGTTGCATTGCTGTTGTTGCTGTCGCTGTTGTTGTTGGCGGTGCTGCTGTTCTGTCGATACTTTGATATTACCTCGTGATCAGGACGTGCTTGGCTAGACTTTTTTCTACACGTTAGGTCGTGCGTGTGCCAGATGTGCTTTTTTTCGACCGCACCATACATGCCGATTTTGGATCCCACACACACTACTAAAACTCCATGGGGTCGAAATGAATGCCCTTAAACAGCTCCAACACCAATCCAAGCGGATCCGACGCACAACTTGACACGCGAACCCTCGGACTCTCGGGTTATTCTTGTTAGCTCACGCCACCTTTATGTTCGGCAACCTAACACTCTACACACATGACCAAACGACGAAACCTGTTAAGGATGCTGTGTTTATCGCGAAATGGTCTTGCCTACATCCCGTCTGTCCCGCCGCTTCTGCCCCTTCCTTCCCTCGCACGCCCACCGTTGGCCACGTTTCAACATACATCATAGGACGATCCGCATTGGATGCTCCACACCTCCCCCGACGCAAATGTCACGACACTTGGAGGCTCGTCTCTCCACTTCAGCGAGACCTCCGTCATCGTTGTTGCTGGGCCCGCCGACGCCCACGCCAGCGGGAACGACAACGTCGACCACCACTCATCCACCAGCTCGCCATTCGTCGACGAAAATGGTTCCGAGCTGCAGCAGAAGGAGCCCCGCTCTTCCACCGAGCAATCTTCCATCAACGGGGCCCGGGACAACGCCAACTCCGGTGGCCACTCGGATTCTTGCACCAAGGACAACACCAACCTATCGTCTGAGCAGCACCGACACCAGCACCACCACCAACACAAGCAGCAGCAGCAGCAGCAGCAGCAGCAGTATCAGCAACAGCAACAGCTCCAGCACCAGCACCAGCACCAGCACCAGCAGCACCTACAACACCAACAAGACGACCCGCCTAGCGTACCCACCGCATCCTCCTCTTCTACCATGAGGCTAAACAGCGACTCCACCCCCAACCCGTCGCAGCAGCAGAAGCAGCAGCAGCCCCACATAAACAACCATATCGACACCCCTAACAGCTCTCCTCAACCCTCCGACGTGCCTTCGCCCTCTGCCACAGGGGGTGACACCATCGCTGCCACAAACCAGGGCCTTCTGCCCATTGATAATATCCATAACACCCGTGCCTCGGCTTTGTACACTTGCGACCAGCTGCAAGCCAGCCGGACTCCCGTGGACGGCATCGTCGTTGTCCGAGATCACGTGATCTGTGAGGAGACGAG